CTGTCAGATGCTCTCTCTTTCCACCTCTCCCTTTTCCTCCCCTTCCTGTGATCTCACTGATGTTCTTACATGCTGCACAACCAAGACTATGGAATGGACTTGATTGAACAACTGAGTGGTCATTTGATACTTCATCTCTCACTGCACATTTCTTCTCATTTCACAACATACTGTGATGCTTCAGATCAAATACATGAGTTGGAACAGAGGCTTTTATCACAGATTTCCTGGAAAAGGAAATAGTCTTTGAATTTAATAAAAGCACATCATTCCATGGCCTCTTTGATGCCACATACTCCACCAACTTACTAAGAACTTAAAGAGAGACTTTCTCTTGGATGTATAAAGACCCTTCTCAGTCACCCACCCACCTATTCCAAGTGCCTTCCAGAACTAGCTGCATTATGGAAGGGTTTCTGCCTGTGCTTGTCTCCTACAGGAGTCTTTTCTGTTTCCTTAAGCTATAAAGGATGATAGCAGGATACTCAACCAGCAGTTGCAGTCTCAGATATCTTTTGCTATGGTGAAACTCCTGTGCTGGCCACAGAGATGGTCTGTCCTTCTGCCATCTGAGACCCTCCAATTAAGACTTAGAAGTCTGGTTTTTTTTCATTTTCCAAATGGCCAAGACCACCAAACCTCTGTTAGTCCCACTACATGCATGGAGCAGTCAATTTTTCTGACTACTCCATTTCCCATTCCCCTTTGTTTGAAAGCCTTCAAACCCACAAAAAGATGATAAACTGAAACCAGAGAGACACACATAGCATCATGAGAGCAAAGAGAGAGAGGAACAGTAAGGCAATGAATAGATATTTAAATGAATGCTGCATGTGGGGACTGAAAGGCTGTTCTCCCACCGGTACCATGATTCTTCAGGACATCAAGGCACCAGACACTTCTTCCAAACCCCTTTTGTTGCTTTCTCCTACCTGCTTGCATTTCACCAAATGTGGTTGCAATTTTTCCCTTTTGATGCTGTGCCAGAAGACCATCTTATCTCGATTAAAATGCTCTACAACACTTTAAAAACAGATAATCTACATCACATGGTTAGTGTTCTATGTCCTTTTTAGAGCCTGAGTTCACTAAAACTGGACTCACTCTCCATTTACTACAATGTTAACAATTTGCTTCATCTGTGACAATCCTCCATCCTCCCATGTTCTTTATCAGCTGCAGAACTGTACCAGGCAGTTTCAAGCTGGAGTAATTACTAGTTATGTCCACTACTAGCTTGAAAAACTAGCTTGAAAGCAAGTTACCTTCTCTATGAATGCTGTTAGGTTGCAGCCACCTACAGTATTTGATAGTCTGAAAAATACATCTTTCCTAGCAAAAGATGTGTCCAGATAGAGCAACCACCACGCTATGCTGTCACCAATTTGTCTGCCCAGAATTCTCTCTCTCACACTGCTGTATATTCAGTCACAGAAAAAATTGAGTTATTTCAAAAAGAAGACAAGCACAGCTATTGTACAGCCTAGTTCAGAGCCCCGTATCTTGAGCTGATTCAGCTTATCTGCTTTTCCATACCTTTGACAAATGCATGTCTTATATCATTTTTTCTTGCCTTCCTCCGTATGCCATACTGCTTTTCCTCCCTGTATCTTATCTAGAAATGATGTGCTATTAATCAGCCAAAGACACCCTTCACTACTAAGTGTTCCTCAACTGATTTTTCATCAGCACAAGTAGTTACTAGTTCCAGCATTCCTCCCACATGCTGAAGGCTTGGAGGGGAGGGAGGAGGGATGGCAAGAAGGTTAGAGGCTGGCTCACCACATAAATACTATCTGGGACCTTTATACCAACCTGCCAGCTTGCTGTAATGGTAATGTTGCTGTTTGTTCTCAACAAAAGGAACACAGTGGGAGGAAAGTGGGGCTGCACCCTGTCTTATTTTTTAAGTTAATAACCTTCATGCTCTTCCTTTTATCTGATTAATCTGGCTGGGTGCCTGCTCAGTAGTAGCTGAAGCTTAATACCTGAAATAATCTGTGGACATACACTGTGCCAGTAAGGCTTGCCCAACAATGCACATTCTGTCATGCTTTCCCATGCCTTGTGTCAATATCTCATTTTATGTGCAAGCCCCCAGAGTAGGGGATAGGAAAAAACAGAGGCATGGAAGGAGAGAGGGAGGGAGAGAGAAGGCTAGAGGGAGAAGAAAGAGAAGGAGAAAGGAAAATAGGGGAAAATTACATCCCTTGGGAATGTCAGCTGCTACAAACTCGCCCACTCCTCACCATGAAACGAGCTGTGTGCGGGCACAGGTGGGTCCCATTCTCTGTTACTAGAGCACAGCCTACAAACAGGGGCTAAATGAAGACTTTCATTGCTGTTCCCTGTTTTCATTGGAGCAAGGCCATCATAAACATTTGCAGGTGGCTTGGCCATAGTCTGACACTAAAATATTTGTGGTTGTGATAAAAATCAGAATATTGCTACAAGATGGTTCTATATAACCTTCAGGGCTTGATCCTGCTCTTACAGAACTCAGTGAGAGTTTTACCCAGTTTCTCTCTGCTGATTTTATTGCTCATTAAAAGGCATTTTCCTCAAAAAAATTCTTCATGGTAAAGACTCATCTACCCTTTGGGGCAGATTCAGTTGATTTTTTAAAAAGGGAAACTCAACCAAAATCCACTGATTTGAGCACCTCAGAATTTGGGCTAGTTAAATAGCTAAACAATCTCAACTTTGCAAGACTAAATCAAAACAACTAAACTTTGAAGAACTCAAATATTTTCTGAATTCATCTGGATTTTTTTTTTTTTCAGTTGTTTAATACCAGAACCATTGTCCAGTCTGTATTCCTCATGAATGAGTCGTGGATATAATTCTTACCACGTTTAGAAGGATAAGATGAAGATAAATGGAAATGACAAGATATGTTCTTTGAATAAGTAAAACAGACACCACAGGGAAAAGACTGAAGGAAAAGACAAACAAGGATGCTCAACGCTTTGGCAAGTAGAGGAAGTTGAAAATACAGCAATTATCTCCTAGGACACACCATGAACAAAAAACAAAACCTCCTAGGAAGAGGGAAGAATGGGGAACAGTGTATGCTGGAGGTCACACCATAAGTCTCATTCACACACCAACTCACACAGAGACTAAAATGCTGACAATTGCCTCCCAATAAAGCAGCTTTAGACTCAGACTTAGGAAACATTTGTGTGATTCAGTCACGGGGAAGAATTAAGATATGTCATGACAAAGTTTCCCAAATGAGACACACCACTGACTAGGAAAAGGCCTTTTTATCCTCAACCCCTCAAACTTTGGAGATTCTAATCACCATGGCCCCGAACCAACACAAACCTAAAACCTGACTGACAGGGTCTTGCAAAACCACATGCAGTTTTTTTCTCATTATATAGAAACAATTGTTTGGAAGCCAAGTACAGTCTTACATAAAACACCTCACCACTGAGTATTAAAAGTTGTTTGGGGTTTTATTATGCTTTTAATTAGGATCATAATTACCACTAGACCTATTAAGTCACAATTTGAACAGGAGCTTAATCATCCTTAACGCAAATAATGGCATTAGTTAATGTTTTTCTTTCTAAAATTGAAAAAGAAACTGTTTCTTCCTCCCTCCCTTTCTCCCAGCCCCCTGTCTTTGAACTGAATGGGACATATATAAGACAACAACTTTGCTGGATTCACAGGCAAGTGGTATTGCATGTGAAATCTCAGTGAACACTGTGTTTTGTCAAGATGGAACATATACAAAGGGCACATCTATCAAATAGGTTTACCTGACCCAACCTACCAGATTTATTTATTAAGAAGCAAATCCCGAAACAGTAGTAAAAAGAAAAATAGAGGATCTTGGCCAGGAACACAAAACTAGGGCAGCAGATGGAATCTGTGTCCTGTGCATGGCTGGGTAACCCAGAGCTCAGTGCTGTGGGCCATCCCAGCTACCATGGGAGGTACAGAGCCTGTGGCCTACACCAAGAATCTTGAAGGAAAACTCAAGAAAAACTGGATTTTTAGTTTTCAATGCCAGGATTTCACTTTTTGGTTTTACTTTGGAAAGACTGAAAGTTGCTCATCAATTATTTCAATAATGACTGGGGACAGAGACTCCTTTTGCACATATCACTTAATTGATGTGACCAAATTACAAATGGCAGATAATGAATCTGTAGTGCTGCTTCTTTCTTAGTCCACTAATATATCTTTTTATCCATACATTTTCATGTATAAGCCCACCCCTAAATTCTCAGAGCTGCGTGATTAAAGCTGAACCCTCAAGCCATTGAGGAAATTTCTGTACAATTAAAAACAAGTTACTCTGACTTACGAGGATCTCATACTTGCTGGAAGTAACTGTGCTAAACATGGATGGTTTTGTTCACACAGTTCTCCAGACATTATCACTCCACTGGCATTCAAGCCAATACAATAAGCATCTATACTGCCAATTTATGGCAATAAATATGGATCCATCATCACAAATTGAGCAGCTGTTCACACGGTGCCAAATCCTATTTATCTTGATGGTCTTTTTGTCTTCCAGCATTCCTCATTTAAGCAGAGGACATAGGAAATAGCTCAATTCCATAGAAAACACAGAATTCCCATTGAAGGAACTTAAAGGATTGGCTTCACAAACACTTTGTCTTTCTCCCCAGGTCATGTTTTTAGAAAAAACATGCACTATGATCATAAGAAGATAAAACAAAACTGGATACAGAAAGCAGGACTCTCCAGTAAGTACAACATTCTGTCTTTTTTGAACCAGGGTGCCATACCTAGAGTAACCTGGCCATTCCCCACAGCCTGCAACATGTGCTGCAGGGGTCCATGCTCGTCCTGGCAGGGTTCAGAGCAAACCCTGTAACCTCAAAAACCACTAGAACGACATCTGCTCCTGCATGCAGCTGGACCTTAAGAACTGTGAGGACATGAGGACAACATCTGGTCCTATGGGCAGGAACCAGAGAACCAGAGAAATGAGAAAATGGAAATGGACTCACCCAATCTGCCGATTTGTGGAAGGTGCTTGTGTAATGACAGAACTGGACTGTGGAGATGGCATGGCTTGCTGAATCACAACGCTGGTGTCGTGGTTTGGCATCCTTGTGTTTGTCAGCTGGTGGGATCCAGGTCCTGCCATTGCTCCTCCAACTGTGTTATGCATGGATATATTCTGTGAAAAGCAAGGAAATGGGAGATGGTGGAGGAAAATGAAAATAAATAAATAACTATATGTCTTAGTCTGCTTTTCTGTTCTACAGGAATTGTATTAGAAATCTGAAAATATCCACAACATGAAAAGTTACTGGCTCCTGGTAAATCCCAAGTCAACAGATCTTGTTATAACCAACAGCAATTAAAAAAAAAAAAAAAAAAAGAAAAATGAATATTTACTTTCATAGGGCAATATAAATGGAAAAATACCATTTTTTTCCACACTCTTCTGTGATTCTGTCTTGTGATTTGTAATGGGGATATTTAGCACATATTTCTCCTAAATGAACATGATATAAGTACAGGACACCTTAATTTACTGCATGGCCTGTTTACTGTGTACTGTGTTTGCTTAGACTGACAAGCAAATCAAGTTTTACAGTCCCAAAGTAACAAACAGTGCACAGCACATCATGAAACAGCCATTTCTATAAGCCTCCATAGACTTTGTAGAGCAAAAATATCCCAGAGGCTTAGAATAACACTGTATTTCACCACATATAACCTTTGCTTCAGGTAACTCAGAGCTCTTAAAAAGTTCCTAAAAGAAAAAAAAGTTCACAGATAACTCATAGCCACTAAGCAAACAGCCAGTGAGAGACCAGGATACTGCTAAGGATGGAATAAGACTTCTCTCCTGTTATGCCTGTACACACAACACACACGGCTGCTAAACCGCAGGGTTTGACTTGGCCTGCGTTTAAAAACAAACAAAACTCTCAAGCCAGAGATAAGCCACAATGTATACACATGAAAAATACGGTAACCTTGAGAGCATTATTTTCCCTATCAGGCATCAACGTGTGAATTGTTAGCAGCAAGAGGAAAAGAAACTTTCCATTGTCACCTCATGCTAGGACGAGGAAAACGGGGACAAAAAGCTCCTTATACACACACTGCCACTAAGACTCACGCAAAGAACCTTCCTAACCACAGCACTACTCAGGATTAAAAAACAAAGTTCTATTTCATTCAAAATTCCAATTTATGAGTCAATTTGTCTAGGAAACACACACAACCACCACAAAATATTGATAGATAAAGCTGGTGAGAAAGGAAACTCAGAGCTCTGATCAAATGTGGAAAACATAAGAGGCACACAACATGTTGAATTCCAGACCTAAAGAAAGTATTATGTATTATGAGCCAAATAAAGAACAACCCCTCATGGAAAAAGAGAGCAAATAATTAGAGGACCCCAACTGAAGGCATTAGTTGTTTTCCATTTATGTCCCAGATTTATACATTTCATGTGATTCCCAGGACAGTTTGGAGACAGGGATCTTTGTTTCTTTTACAGGGGTTGTTCCAGTCTTCAATAACACATAAAGAGGCACAGGTGCTGCCCACAGTTGAATGGTTATACCACCTCACCTGGAATGAAGAGGACCCAACTTTGAATTCCTCTTCCAGTAAATAATTATTTACTGGAATTTTACACATTATGAATCAGGTCTAGAAGCTTCTTATTCACTTAAGAATTCACTTAAGGTGCATGAATTGCAAGAGGAAGCCAGACCAAGGACCTTAACTGTAATATTTCATAGCACAGTAGTATCTCATGACCATCAGGCAATAACCTTAGACATATGAAAACTACTCCAAAAGAAGTTCTCCCTCACCTACCACATTCCTATTAAAATGTCACTTCTTCAACAGATTACTGGTTTCTGATAAAAAGCCTGTTCAGTTCAAAAAAAAAAATATATACAGCCAAATCTAGCTCAGGGTTCATCAAACCTGCTTTTTAGATCACAGCCAGATTTTGCAAAAACAGATCTAAAATCTATCCATGTACAGTCAAAATTTTAACACTATCACTTCCTAAAGTGATCTCTAAATGAAACATGTATGGTGCCATGAGTCTGCAAGGCCTGGAAATCCATCATCACAAGCTTTAGACAGGTGGTACCCTGGCATTTGCTCACAGTTTCACCAGACTTTGTTGTACCATGGTGGGGCAGACCTTCAAGATTTGATATCAGATTCCTGTGCTCCTAAATTAAGTATTTCCTTTCTCTTTTCCTTCTCTTTCCATTCTCTTCTTACATTACAGAGCTCTCTAAGGTACAAACCGATGTATTATGATGGATATAGAAAATTTCAGTTTCCCATAAGGCACTGTAGTTGTTACCTTACATGCATAAACTTCCAACACTGTTTCAAAGTTTTAACAATTTCCAATGAGCTACATCTTTTCAAAAAGTAGGTTGAGGATGTGATGCATGGAAAGTAAAAGCAGAGTGAAAACCAGTCAATGCTTTCAGATGTCCATTCTTCTCAGTAATGCAAGCACTGCACTTGGGCAAGCGCATACCATGCTGCCAAGTGAAAGCCTAAGATTTCCCAACAAAATGCCAAACTCAGCATGACTCTGACATTCATAAGAAAAGGATTTGGCAATCTCAGAATAATTTACATCAGTGAGATGCTAGTGAATCTACAGAGAAGTTCAAGCAAGTTCATACTTTAAGGGCAATAGGTATGCTTTGAAAGGCAGCAGGAAGGTAGTGTACAGTGGATCTGACTCTAAGCCTATCTGATCTCGCTGCATGCATCATGACACTGTATGACTCTGTATCACCAGCACAGCAAGACTAGGCTCGTTGCACGTGTGATGCAGCCAGTCTTCAGAACTCCCAAAATGGTTTTGCTGTGTTGAGCTCTGCATCTGGTTCTGAATGGATCTGGATAGGATATTAACAAGCTCCTTGCTGACTTTGGGCCCTTATAGAAAGAGGAAAAATTCAGTAACATAGGCCGAAACTGAGACCTCCACTTTATATATGGAATTGTTGTTTACTTAGGCTGCTTCCAGCTCTACTTTTAATGAGCTCTTGATGTTCTTCTACCAGGCATCTGTGAATAACATCTCCTTTGACTCTCCTTTTCATTATCCTCCAGCTCTTACGCCAATGTTTACGATTATTTGATACTAGGTGTGGAGCTCCCAGTATTCCAGCTCAGATAAGTCTACAGGAGCAATGACAGACTGAGATCTCCCTCTGCTTTTAACATTCCCAAGACCCATCCATGCTCTGGGAGAGTATGACACCCACACACACTCAGAGTTTTCTCAGGTATCTTCTCAACTATGCTTCAACGTTAGAAGAGAGAATATGAACTTATCATTATTATCTATTTTATTAAACTGAACCCAAGTGTTCACACAGGGAACAGGCCACCCATATGTCAGGAGCTGCAGAGACACAAAAGACATGCTCTTAAGATTAATTTAATGAATCTTAATTAAGTTCCAATATATGAAGAGGAGTTTATGTCCTTTAGGACCAAGTTTCATCCTCACTGAAGTTTCCAATCAATCTCACTGAAGCAGAAACTAGGATTATAACAGTGAAGTGCTTTTACAAAAATGCTCCCCTTGCCCATGTGCTCATGCAGTACTCTCCATCAGTATTTAACATTCAAACAAATAAACCAAACAGCAACAAATCATATCCACAAACCGCTTTTGAATCTACATGCTCATTCTCAACCTTTCCAGCTGCAAAAGGAAAGCAGATCATCATCATGCTAACTTCTTCCCAGTTACACTTCATGGCCCATTTTAGCTTCAGACTTTGAAGAAAACATTTGAGCATTTTTCTCCCACGTGCAACCATTTAAGCTTGGATAGACAACACACTTCTTTTTTCTAAAGGCTAAAAACTTCTTGAAGTCATGCTTCCATGTTCTGGTGGAGAGGATTACACATCACTCCACAAGAACACACACCCTGTTGGCAAGCACAGCAGAGAAATGACGGCTACGCAGACACAGGCAAAATACACCCAGGCAGTCACCAATTCCCCTAAACCCTGGTTCTTCCAGAGAAACACCCATCCGTTTCACACAGCACCACCTCAAGTCAATCACCATCTACTGAAATCAAAGGATGAAGACAACTGATCCATCCTTTACAATCTACTGTAATATTCTGAGTTTCAGAGTTTGTTTGTGGTTTTAAACTATAAGATCTAGTTTCTGGTTTTATTTTCCTACTATTATTTTTTAACTGTGAGGCTTACCAAAAATTGCAAACGCCAGTTTTACATGAACTGCAGACTATTTGGGATTATTCTATATAAGTTTTTGGATCAATAAAGCTGTAACCTACAGCAAATTGTACATAAAGGTATTTTGAAAACTATTCTATATTCTATTCTATAAATTCTCAATTCTAATACAGTCATTTCTGATTACTGAGATCCTAACATCACATTATATAAAAGACACTTGAGTGGAAGCCTCCAGTGACATACTCACTGCATATACTGCTTACACAGCCAAAGAACCTGCCTGCTTAAAAACTTGGAAGACTTTGTTGTAAAGAAAATTATACATTAAATGCGGCAAATAATGGCCAAAGGCTTCAAAACTATTTTAATCACATATAACCTCCATCAAAATAACTGAGCCTCTATGAATTCTCTCCTGACAGAAGAAAAACATAATTTCAAAACAAAAGTTAGCAAGACTCCCCAGAAGCAGTACCAATTCTCATTATTTTCTCATTATTCAGATCAAGGTGGAAAGAAAATACCCTCACACCAGCCCATCACAACTGTTTCATCTGTAGCTGGCATGCAAAATCTAAATTCCTGTAAGCACAGAACTAAGCTTGCTGCCCACTCAAGGCCAGTAAACACAGATGAGGAACTAGGGAAGAAACCAGAGATAAAAAATGAATTATGTTACTAATGCAATTGAAGGTTTACAGGAAAAAGAAAGTCTATTATCAAGATTTTAATTTTTAAAAAAATAAAAAAGGAAAAAGTTCCATTATGCAGGAGATGGGTGAGTGTAAACTTGGTGGAGACTGAAATGCAATACCTTTTCCTCTTTTTTTAAACTGTAACATCTGTAGAGCTTTGAATGAGGAAAAGCACTAAAGTAAAAAAAAAAGGACACAGAAAGAAACTGCTGGAAAATGCTATGTAGTAACATTAAGCATAAGGA